TTATTATTATATTAAGTGGTGCCTTTGGAAAAAGCTCCCTCTGCTTCCCCAGGTTCTGAGCGAGAGAGCTTACGAAGACTGGTCCAGTGTGAGAATGGAAGCTGAGGCAGCAATTGATAACAAGGATGAACTGCTAATGGAGACTGCTCTCCACTTGGAAACTAACCTTACATTGCTTGGTAAGGCTGACAATCTGCAAGTTAAAGGATCCTGTGCAGTGCATTTCTTCACTCCATATCCATATAGAGTTGTGATAATTTATTTGCCTACAGTATATGATTTCTTTCTGTCATAGACATTTTGGGGGTTATAACACATGGGCCTCCAGTAATCCTTTGCCAAGTGTTATGCTAATTGCCTGTACTACACCAAATCTTCTATTTGTGTCTAGTAAAAAACAGTTCTGTTCACTGAGGGCAGAGGTGAGAAGAGTTTGGAAAATGTAGAAGTTATTCTGAATTTCACATTCTTTTACCAGAGAAAATGGGAAGTTAATTTTTCCTTGATCAGTTTCTAAACTAAATTATCTTTATCTATTCATTTTGTAGGGGCCACTGGCATTGAAGACCGGCTACAAGAAGGAGTGCCAGACACTATTGAAGCCCTCCGTGAAGCTGGCATACAGATTTGGGTGCTGACAGGAGACAAACAGGAGACTGCAGTAAATATTGCCTATTCCTGCAAACTACTGGACCAGACGGACATTGTCTTCACTATAAATACAGATAGCAAGGTACACTTCAAAAGAAAACGATCAATTTCACTCTCCTTTTTCTTAATTCACACAATTTTAAAGAATAAAAACAGCGATAACAAGAACCATTAGCACTTTTTTGCTCTCCAGTCCAACCAGCAGTGTGTTCAATAGGATTTTTCAAGAGTATGAGCCACAGGGAATAACAAGTAGCATTTCATCTCCTTGATATTTTATAGTACAGCTTTCATGTAGTAAACTTGTTTTCTAAGTGAAGAATAACATTTTGCAGCAGTATATTAATAGACATCATACATGTATTTTTTATTTGCTGTCAAAATCTATGTGCTCATGGATATGCTAATACAACCTACAAAAATGCCAAAGAAGTTTGTTCTGTACACAAAAGAGAAAAAAGAAACTATCATTAAAATTTAAATTAGTTCATTGAGTATGAATTTATCAAATATTAATAACTTTCAACTCAGGCTTTAGGCAAGACACAGCAGGCCCTTAGACATACACCTTTATACTTAACTCCTCCAGGTAATATGTTGTGCATTTGATAAAAGAGATTGACATGTGAGGAGACAGAAACTGAAATTACAACACTGCAGTTATTAGCATTACAATAGTACTAGACCTTCAGAGACTTGGAAGCTGAATTCCATCTGCAATGCAGAGAGTCATAATAAAAACAGACAGATAAGCTTTCATGCTCTACTGTGAAAATGTATTGCCATCTATTGAGCTCATGATATACTTTACAGAGGGCATAAAGAAGACAACTTCATTATTCTCCGTAAAGCTCTGATTTCAGTTGGTCAGAAACAGAAAGGACCAACTGGTTTCTGACCCATGCTAAGAAAGGTGAAGAAATGATTCTGTGGAAGTAGGAGGCAGATTTCAATAATACTTTTAGAAGCTTTTATGAACTGATTCAAAGATGACTGTCTCCTTGAATCACAAGGCATCTTATACATACAGTAGCTAAGAATGTTCCCCCTCCTCTTGTTAAAAATGAGCAGCTTGATGTATTTTCATTCTTACATCTGTTTCTGTAGAAAGCACAGGTTTATCAGTCTCATCTCAAGATGAGCAAATACTCTCAAGAGATGCTGTCAAGATTTCTCTGTGCTTGTTGTTTCATAGAGGAGATTTTTTTCACTCTTAAGATATGTAAAACAAAGGAGCCAGTTACGTGTCATTACATTTCTCAAACACCTTCTTTCTTATTGCCCTCCCACACCTAGAATTAACAGAAAAATATAGGGATTTTCAAGTGCAGTTTTTGTCTTATTTAAGTAGCAGATTAAATCCAGTTCAGTCATTCTGTTCTTTAACCATCACATAACTGAGACATATACAGTACATCTGAATGCCTGCTTGAAAGCATTCTGTTCTAAAAGAACATTCTACAAAATATCAATGTGTCCTCCTGTTTAGTGGCAAGTATTTTTAGAAAAAATATTTTCTTAATGTCTTATTTAAAATGTTTTGTCAAAAATGCTGATGATTCTCCTTCAATATTCAAGGACATCAGTTGTCCTTCATGTAATATAGTCGCAAATAATGCACTTTATTTTTCCTGTATGGTTCAGTACCAGAATAGGAATCAAGCACTACAACAGCATTCCAAGCATTGCCCTTTAACCCTAAATTTAGTGATTCTTCAAAGATAATTGTAGAGTTTCACGTCATCAGGGTGACCTGATTGCAAGAGATAGGATGTTTGTTTAATGTGGAAGTCGTTCTTAAGTTGCTGTGCCAGCTGAAAAGTGAGGTGTGCTCTTTTTTTGCATTCACTTTCCAGCTCAACTTTCCAGCTTTCCAGAGTCAATTTTTACAACACTATAAAAATCTTGTTGGGACCTATTCCAAATTAAAAAAATTAGGCGTGTGCACATAGGGAGTCATTTCTTCCCTATGACTCCAATGCACACAGGGACAGATTTGAGACTCCAATTGACCTAGCCAGCATATTAGTGGGAAGTGGAAGAAAACCAGAGTACCCAGTTAGAATCCATGTAGATAGTGGGAGAACATGCAAACTCCACGAAGAAGGCACCCAGGATGAAACTGGCTGAAGAACTGTAAGCTGTTGAGCAGTGCTAACAACCATGAGGCCCCAGTTTTTACCTTGATGTTTTCTGATGTTTGTATTTATATTTTAAAGCTAATGATTTTTTCATAGACCCATAATATCAACAAATCTTGCCAAGAACAGGATGGGGCTGATGATGAGCATAGCACCTAGGTATTGCAGAAATGTTGTTTTTCTTGATAGCAGAGGTGGGGGGAACAAACTTCCATTCTAATTGGTGCATTTCCCTCTTGGCTTCTTTTCTTGACAGACCTCCATTGATTTTTTGCAATCTTGACTGTTCGTTAGTGAGCACTTATTTGCCCCCCCCCAGCTCTTTTCAAATGTAAAATGCATGCATTAAGTCATTGCATGCCTTCAGCTAGTTTCCTTTTAATTGAAATTTGCAATGTGGCCAAAAGCTTAGTCATTAGAAAAAAATTACATATTAGTAAAGGTCAAGCGACACATGATATACTCATTCTCCTTTATGACTTTTATGTGTGTTTTTTTAGAAATCATTTTTACAAACTGTCACAATTTAATTCCATAAGACCACATACTTCCATTATAATTATAATGAAGAGATACAGTTGTGCACTTGAATTTCTGAATAGCCAGCAATTCATGACTAGTTTTTCATTGTTTTCTGGAATGTATATCTGGCTTTTGAACAAAGTCCCTGTGACTTGAAGTATTATGAGCACGTCGCAGTGTGCTGCATTTCTGTAGCTTACAAACTCGGCCCACAATGCAGTAATTAGTTGACATTTGGTCATTATTTTAGATGTGGATATTCATAGAATTTTAACTTTTTTATTTCTGTAAGTTACTATTTCATGTATTTCAGTTCATATAATGGACACGTGGAACAGATGTTTGTCCAGCTGCTGGTTATCTTGATTTACAGCATTACCATTTTATTCAGTTAGGGGCAAAAGGCATCAATAATATCTACAACACAATTTCCAGGTGTCCCCTGGACTCATGAAAGCTTATTCGGGTTGTGTTTTGTCAAAAAGCTACAGTATACTCTCCTTAAACTGCTGTGCACACATTTGTGATTGAAATAAATTTTAAAACGAGCTTGTATTCAGCAGGCATAAAAGGACAGGTGGAGCATGTCATTAACTACTAGAAAACACGTTCCACATGGGCCCATAAGTTCTGTCATATCCATGATCAAAACCACTTTGCAAAAAGGCATCACACGTTGTAGTTTGCCTAAATAAAAATGTGAAGAAACACTTTGTCAGTAAGCTACACTCATAGGTGTGATAACATTTCAAAATTTTGCCTGTTACCAAAAATTACATTTTTTTAGTCATTTCTGTTGCCTTTTTTGGAGTATCTCCACAGTTTGTGCTGTACCAGAATGGTTCATGATGATTGTGTTTATTGATTATTGATTGTCTAGTTATGGACACAATCATGATGATGCAAGATGGCAGTGATTTTATACACATCTTATAGATTTTGTAGGTTATAATGCTAATGGTGTGGCTTTTGTTTTGCAGTAATAAGATGTGTGTATTCTAGTATCAGTCTAATAAAAAGGTATGCTGACATTTTCTGTCTTGTTTTTATATCTATAGGAGGCCTGTGAGTCCATACTTGACTGCACCATTGAGGAAGTAAAGAAATATGATCCTGTTTCCCAGTCTGAGTTATTTAGAGTAGGTATGACCTCAGTCAGGCCTGCGGCTGAGGTGTACCCCACGTTTGGCCTGGTGATTGATGGAAGGACACTCAGCTTTGTTTTTGAGGAGGACCTCAAAACGAAGTTCCTCGAACTGGCTCGGCGCTGCCGCTCTGTGCTCTGCTGTCGTGCCACTCCTCTGCAGAAGAGCTCTGTGGTCAAGCTGGCAAGAGAACAGTTGAAAGTCATGACCCTCGCCATAGGTACTAAACTAATTGCTCTATACTTTTATGCCTGACTATAAAAATATTTATTACTAACAATTAATGTCCTCATAGTCCATCAAGTTCATATACCTATATTTATAAGCTTAAGTTGATATGGAGATCTTTATGTTGAGATGAACTTTAGGGAGATTTATGTTGAGATGAACTATAGGGAACCAACTTCTTCTGCATCGAGCTTAGTCCACATTAGCTTTCCAGTTTAACTTATAAGGATCACAATGTACCATCAGAGACAATGAGATTCAGTAGCCTCTTGTACAATGCAGTCCGTAAGTATTTGGATAGTGACACAATTGTTGTTGTTTTGGCTCTGTACTCCAGCACATTGGATTTGAAATGAAACAATGACTATGAGGTTAAAGTGGAGAATGTCAGCTTTAATTTAAGGGTATTTACATCTACTGTATATTGGGTGAACCATATAGGAATCACAGCCCTTTTTATACATAGTCCTCCCATTATAGGGGACCAAAAGTAATTGTACAATTTGCTACTCAGTTGTTTCTTGGCCGGCTGTGTGTTGTTGCATCATTATTTCATGGACAAGAGAGCTAACAAAAGGTCTAGAGTTAATTCTAGATGTGGCATTTGCATCTGGGGCCTGTTGCTGTTGTCTCTCAACATGAGGACCAAAGAATTTTCAATGCCAGTGAAGCAGGCCATCATGAGGCTGAAAAATCAGAATAAATCAATCAGAGACCTTAGCCAAAACATTAGGTGTGTCAAAATCAACTGTTTGGTACGTTGTTAAGAAGCAAGAATGCACTGGTAAGCTTAGCAATAGCAAATGACCTGGTGGACCACGGAAGACCACACTAGTGGATGACTGAAGAATACTTTCAATTGTGACAAAAAAAAAACCTTTTTAACTGTTGAACATATCAGGAACACTCTCCAGGATGTAGGCATAAAGTAGATGTGTCAAAGACTAAAGACCATAAAGAGAAAATTACACCAGCATAATCTCGGAAGGTTCACCACAAACCACTGCTAAGAAAGGCTGCAGAAAGGCCAGGTTACGGTTTTCTAAAAAGTACATAAAGCCTAAAGAATTCTGGGACAAAGCCTTATGGACAGATGAGACGAAGAATAACCTGTACCAGAATGATGGAAAGAGAAACATATGGAGAAAAAATAGAACTGCTCATGATCCAAAGCATACCACCTCATCTGTGAAACATTGTGAAGGTAGTGTCAGGGCTTGGGCATGTATGGCTGCCAGTGGAACTGGCTCACTTGTCTTTATTGATGATGTGACTGCAGACAGCAGCAGCAGGATGAATTCTGAAGTGTAGAAGCATCTTATCTGCTTAGATCCAACCAAATGCTTCAAAAATCATTGGATGGTGCTTCACCTTGCAGCAGGACAATGACCCCAAACATACTTCTAAAGCAACTATGGCATTTTTCAGGGCCAAAAAGTGGAATGTCTTTGATTGGCCAAGTCAATGACCTGACCTGAATCCAATTGAGCATGCATTTCACTTACTGCAGACAAGACTGAAAGCAAAAAGCTCCCTAAACAAACGGGATCTGAAAATGGCTGAATTACAGGCCTGGCAGAGCATCACCAGGAAAGATACCCAATGTCTGGTGATGTCTATGGGTTGCAGACTTCAGGCAGTCATCAACTGCAAATTTTATTTAAGATTATGTTAATGTGTCCAACTACTTTAGATCTCATTAAATGAACTATGTACTAAGTTTAAAAAGGGCTGTGATTCCTATATAAGGAATGACCTATATGGTTCACCCAATATAGACATAAATACCCTCGAATTAAAGATGACATTCTGCACTTTAACCTCATTGTCATTGATTGATTTCAAATCCAATATGCTGGTGTACAGAGCCAAAACAAAATTGTGTCATTGTCCAAATACTTATGGACTGCACTGTAAGTAGCTTTTTTTCTGTGTGAAAAAAATGGTGTCTTAGTCTCCCTGCTAATACTGCCTTCCCTTTCATAGCCTTTCCTGTGCATTGATGCAGCACCACAAACATGCCAATGCTGAAAGATTTCATGTTAAATTAGCCATTTTTCTGTCATTGTATGTCCCATTACCATGTATAAGCATTTGTTGTCACAGTGAAATTGTAAGGCAGGAATTGCCACTGATGACTGATCTATTATTTTTATTTCCTTCTGTAATTTTAGGGGATGGTGCTAATGATGTAAACATGATTCAGGCAGCAGACATTGGAATTGGAATTTCTGGACAGGAAGGAATGCAGGTGTGTGAAACATATACCTGATGTTTAGGTTTCTTTTTTCAAAAACCAAAATTAGCAAGTTGCGATTTAGCAGTTCACTTGCTAAGGGATATACAAAAAAATGTTAAAATAAAAAAGGAAGCTTAACTAAAATTTCAAAAGAAAAGCATATCTTAAGAGATAAATGCTAAAACGTAAGAGACAGAATTGAGATCTTCAGGAAGAGCTTCCATGCAAAAAGTCAATTTTATTTCCTGCCTTTCCAAATTTTTATGTAATTGGATTTGGTCATGTTTTCAAACAATTTGAAAGAAAATAAGATTGGATCTGAAACACCAATATTCTCTTTGGTGTATGAAGCAAAATTAATTTTAGTGTGTTTCCATTACCACATTAACTCTGAAACATCTTACTTTCTAAGTAAAACGTAAGGTCAGGTTTCATTGTTTAGTTACTAGTTTTATGTTGATATAGTGTTTTACATACATGGACAGATTGCTCTAAAAAAATGTTCTTTCACTGCTTGCTCTTAAATTGGGTTTAGGACTTCATTCTCATACAAATGCAAAACAATCATTCCCCGAGAAACACTTCTGATTTCAGTCGCATAGCAGTCGTAAGCATAATAAGGCATATTATGCACTTTTTATTTTATTATTTCTCTTAAGGACTTTCTAATTTATGCAAATCATTTTAACCTCATTGTACTTCTAAATTTGTACAAGGATCACTCTTCTAATGAACATGTCAATGCATTCATTTTGTAGGCAGTGATGGCCAGTGATTTTGCCATATCCCGTTTTAAGTACCTTAAAAAGCTGTTGCTAGTTCATGGCCATTGGTGCTACAGCAGACTGGCAAACATGATTATCTACTTTTTCTACAAGAATGTGGTAAGTATCCACTGGGTCATGCTAGAATGGAATGTTCTATCAAAGGATGGATTTTTCTACTTGTTTGCCTTCATTTATGTTATTAGGTCTTGTCAAAACTGAGCTGTTCATCCTTTAAGAAAGTGAATTACTACTTACTTAACTTTTGGCAGTTAGCGATTTTAATGAAAGATTTTAACTATTCATTATCCCATAATGAATTAACATATAATAAGGTTTATTTATTTTTTCCAAAAATATATTTAACAGCATTGAAGACTAATTTCTCAATTTACACATGAAATAACTGAAGTTTTTTTTATTATTTGAAACCAGACATATGTGAACCTCTTGTTCTGGTACCAATTTTACTGTGGATTTTCGGGAGCTGCGATGATTGATTACTGGCTGATGATATTTTTCAACCTGCTTTTCACTTCACTACCCCCCATCATTTTTGGCATTATGGAAAAAGACATCTCTGCTGAAACACTTCTAGGTTTACCAGAGCTATACAAGAGTGGCCAAAAATCTGAGGTTAGTATTGTTGTAATCTTGGCCACAAATGGTCTGTAAAACCAGAAAAGGCTCCTTTTCTCATTGTGTTGACCTATGAAACAAAAGAACCCTGGAGAATAAGTCCTGATTGTCAGTAAAGACATCTCTGGTGAGGCATTTCAAGGGTGGCTGAATGCATATAATGGACATATTCAGCACCAGTAATAGCTTCCTCTGAATTTCTAAAGTATTATATGATATATAGCAGAACAATAAACCAGGAACCTCTGAGTGTTATTGCTTCCTTGAGACTTACTTGTGACTTCAATTAATAAAGGCCTTATTAACAACATCTGCCTCAAGGACTGTTGCAACAGTGCTAAAAATTCTGCATGCCATTACAAGTGCTGTATGTATTTGCGATGCAGAGTATTTACTCTTGTAAGTGAAAATTTATACTGTCTTGAGGCACAACACAGAGATAAATTAGTCATTTTGTGGAGATTGGTAATTTATTAGTAGTAGAGTACGACAGATCTAGTTCAATAGGAATTCTCACAGAAGCCATTAGCCTGTTATATGAATAATAATTCACTTGTGTCTTACATTTTAATGTTTATCCTGGGTTGCAGGATGTTATTGTAACATGGTTAAGTAAAAGTATTTTAATTGTATGTCTGGAAGTTCATATATAAAATAATCACGTATTTTATAGAGATGTTTGTACAGGATGCTTTGTACACAATATATTTATGTAATATTGTAAAAACCAAGTTCCAAATATGTAAGTAAACATAGCACATTTCTTAATTTTCTTAATTGACAACATAAAGCTCATAAAGATTGCATTCTTCTATGCCAGAAGTTTAACTTCTGTTTGTTTTGAGGGAATTGTTTCAGTAGCCACTAAATCAACATTGTTATGAAAGATTAAGTTTTTTGTTAAAAACAAGCCATGAATATTGATACATTGCAGTCATTGTGTATTCAATATTCTTTCAATTACTTTCATAAATATTTATATACTGCTTTTGATTTCAGGGATATAAGTGGCATACTTTTTGGATTGCAATGTTGGATGCCTTTTACCAAAGTCTTATCTGTTTTTTTGTCCCTTACCTCGTAAGTATAATACTTCAGTTATATTTTGGATCAATATTTTTTGTACTTTTGGTCATTTCATGTATTTTTTCTTGTTTTTCTTTGGTAGACATATGAGGGTTCTGATATTGACATATATTCCTTTGGAACTCCCATGAACACTGTGGCATTATTTATTATTCTTTTACACCTGGCCATAGAGATAAAAAACTGGGTAAGCACTCTGTTTTTTTAGTTTGCACTGTAGTTGATGAAAAATTGTTCATCTTTATTTGTGTCTTTACAGCATTTCTCCAATTTGCAGAGTAGGAATGTGACTACAAGCTATTGCAAAGGACAGTGTCTCTATTTCTACCTTGTACTGCTCATAGAAAATAAGAAAACCATATTTGACTCATGTTATAAAATGTTGACCTACATGTTGAGCTGCAGTGTTTGACAGAAGAGGGGGTAAAGTTCTATGGGGGTTTTTATATGGGGTCAGAGTGCAGGGTCAGCCCTTTATATTTGGTGCCCCTGGAGCAGCTGGGGTTAAGGGCCTTGCTCAGGGGTCCAATGGAGTAAGATTCCTCAGCCGGTCACCGGCAACCTTCCAGCCACAGACGCAGATCCTGAGCCACAGTGCAACCGCTCCGCCCTCATATGGACCTAGGATATTGCATAGTCTCTAACCCCTGTAACATTTCCCCATTTTGTGTTTGTAATAGAAAGAGATCATCTAATGTACTTAATAGTATGGCAGGTTGGAGTGAGCATTATGTCATTTGAGACCGACCGGGTAGTTGCAATGAAAATCGGCAAAAAAAAGTATTTAAGGAAAAAGGGCCTTTTTGAGGAGATTATTATCCTGAAGAACAAGGCCTTTTTGATGAGAATATTATTCTGAAGAACAAAGACAGGAAGTGTTTTTCCTTTTCTGGGATTAAGATGTCTGAAAACATATATTTAAGCCTCGGAAAGATGGAGTGGTTTCTTTTGTTCTGGTGTTTCCTTGTCATACTCTAGAGGACAAGTGACAAGTGATCTGCACCTCCAAGGTGTTGCAAAAGCAGAAAAAGTAAATGTAAAAAAAAACGTATAAATTCTCTGATGCCGTTTTTCATCGTTTTTTAAAGTTTCGGAAAGTACTCCAAGTGGAATAGACAACAAAAGCATTTTTTCTACCCCCTGCTATGCAAGCAAATCCTTTATAGACCACTGGACATTCATGTATTCCAGAAAAGCCATCTGGAAACTGCACACTGTCTTCCATCATTGTGATTGCATGCTTTGTCATTTTTTTCCAGACAGTGGTTCACTGGGCTACAATGATAGGTAGTGTCCTATTATATTTCATTGTGGCTCTTGCCTTCAGTGCTTGCTGCATTACCTGCAACCCACCCTCTAATCCCTTCTGGATCATGGAGGGGCAAATGGCAGATCCACGTTTCTACCTGGTTTGCATCATAACTCCTATAATTGCGCTGTTACCAAGGTAATCCATCTTAACTGCTTGGCCTTCGATTTGTGCTGCACACATCCTAGAAGTAATTAGTTTGCGACATTAATTTGGCTTGTTGAAAATTGATAGCTGAAGAAATGAAAAGCATAGCCCTGCCTCTGAACAAACCATAGAAATGTCAATACGTGATGAATTTTGAAACAATGGAAAGACATTCCCATAGCATCTTGAGGCATGCAAAAGTTTATTTTCAGTGTTCTGAAAGTTTGCAGGATATAGTAAAGGAAAACGGGGGACATTCTAAGAGATCACAAGGAGCTCACTGTTTGTCATCTTTTCCAGATACCTGATTCGCATTTTGCAAGGTAGCTTTGCCTTCTCACCTCTTCATCGGGCACGACAGCTTGACCAGCTGGACAAAACTACAAGGGAAATTTTGATTAAGGAATGGAGGGATAGCAGCAGTACAAGACAGTGCATTGCCTCACAAACTGATCTGCCTTCTCCATCCTCCCCAGTTTATAATGGTGGCGAGCTGCCAAGAGAAGGCTGCGCTGAGGCTTCTTTTTACACTCCAGAATCTCACTCTGGGGCCACACTTAGTCAGAGGAATCCAGGGAAGGGGATGTCAAGTGGGACAGAGGTTGTTTCTGGCAACCAGCAAGTTCTGCAGCACAGAACCTCAAACTTTCCCACGATCGTCTCTGATCCACGGAATGATACTGAAAACAGCAGCGCATGCAGGAATGACAGCCCTGACCCTTTCAACCCAGGTCACCAGCGATCCATCAGCACCATGACAATTTAGTGAGAACACAGGAGGAAAGGGAAACAGGGATTTAGGGATTGCCATTTATTTTGCCATTTAATAGTCACAATCTACACAAAGTCTGTTACTTTCTTCCTTTTTAATCCCATATTGGGAGTCTCAAAAATAATGAGTATTATGTTCATTTATTGATGTTTTTAAAACTCAACTGAAAGTACAATATTTATTAGTGCATTAACCAACGTTATTAGTAAGAGAATGAGGTGAATGTTTACATTTTGTATCACACTTTGCTTCTTTTTTTGAGTGCTTGAGTGAAGAAATATTTGTTTGTCTCATGCATACAAAGCCAGGAAGAAATCTCATTAAAATATTGCTGAAATGAAGACATAGTTAAACCAAAATAAGGTTTATTTCTGGCATTCACAGTTTTGACATACTGTACATAGCTATCTCTAGAAAATATCCAGTCCAATTACCAGCAGAACTCGTAGAGTTACGTTACCTGAGTATTCTCCTTTCAAATGTTTTAACATACTTCTCTAGTCAGAACCATGTTAAATGTTTGGTTATATTTTTTCTTATCTGCCAAATTGATTTGTTTCAAAATGCAATACACATTTACCTCATTTGTATGTACTGTAGTTCATATTCTGTGAAATGGCACTTTCATTAACAGTAATCATTTAATATTGTTTTTCAAGTCCTGGGATTATGTTATAAAACCTGTGTAAGAGTTTGTAGTTATACATTTATATGTTTATACTTATAACTAAAGTAATTACAGTATAATTGATATACTTGTATTATGTTATTCCCCACTTAATGAGAGAAAAGTAGTCTAATGGTATAATGTGTTTTTATTTAAAATTATAATTATATGTATCACAAAAAAATTGAAGACTTACAGTATTTTTCCAACATTGTTCTTAGTTGTTGGTTACAGTTTTATTAAGTGAACAAATACTGTACTCTAAAGATATATTTTTGTCTTGCATGATGAATTGTGCTACTTTGAAACTTTGTAATACATGGCACAGTATATTATTAAGGCACTTTAGAAATGAGGATGATGTTTTTTTATTGTTTTGTGGTAGTGATCTTAATGTTTATGGGAGTACGTACTGGAGATATCCCTTTGTGTACAGTTTACAAGAGAGTAATTCCCCCCTTAAGTTAAATTACTTTTTGGGAAAGGTATTTTTGTTTTGTCTTTTTTTGGGGGGTTCAAAGAACTATCATTTTGTTTTTTCATCTCATTTGGGACATACTAATTTAATTTATTTGCAGTTTAATCAAATTTAATCAAATCAAAAGAAATTGTTTCAATTTTTTAAAAACCTATAAACTGCATAGAATTGTATAATTTTTTCAGTGTCATGCTACAACAGATCAATATGCACTGCTATGCAAAAGTCTTAGAAATGTAGACAATACCAGGACGTATGATAGAACATCACGTCCACCAGTGTTTTAAGCTATGCATATATTTTATAATAACTTCATTATTGAAACGGCTTAGACTGGGAGAGAAGAAAACAAGATTGCCATTTAATCATCTTTCATTTACATTGATCATGATTCTCAAAAACTTGATCACAGTAACTCAAGGTTAAAACATGAACAGCAAATATGAAGTATTGTAGTAAAATATTAAACTTTCTAATCAAATCTTATTGACTCACTGTCAGATGTCCCTTGTTTTAACAGAAGTTGTTTCTTTCTATTTATCCATAAAGGTAAAAGACTATTTAATGTACTACACAATGCAGGTCTATCAAAATTAACTTTACGCATAAATGTCATTGAAAATCACCATAAAGAGTTAAACACAGATACTTTGCATTGTTCTAAGCTTTTTGCTCTAAGACCTTTGCAGAGTATTGCATAAAATCTAAATATTTTCACCAGCCGTTTTTATAAAGTGTGTTTATCCACAGATGATGTCAAGCTATAAATATACACTAACACATGTTCTGATTTTTTCTTAGTGAAACCGGGCAACTCTTAAGGAAAGAAAAATCTGTTTATCACACGTACTGTAGCAACATGCTGAAAGCGTATCATTTCTCCACAGCACTAATATCTACAAACTACGTGCCTGGGCTTTCAGACTAATAATTGTCTTGAAGTGGTATCAAGGTGTAGTCGGTTTACTCTGCAGAACATCACATGGTGCATTTTGTAGAATTAGGACCAGAAATGACAACTTGAACTTCAGAAAGTCCTTTTTATCTACCTTCCATAAAGATTGTTAATAAAATAATAATAGTTAGAGGATGTTATGTATACACTACACTTGTACTTTACAGTCTGTTAATGCATACTATACAAGACAATGAGCTGCTGTTGTATGTAATGATATACACCACTAAGACAGTAAGATATTAGACATTTTTGTTAAGTAATTGCTTATTTTAAATTTTCTTCAGTGTCCAAAAGATATATAATTTAGATTGTGCAAATTGTTTTTTCGTAGGCTTTAATCTTTTTACTAGGCAAATACTGAAAATACCTTTTTTTCCCCCAGTGCTCCCTATTTTACTAGTTACTTCTCAATAGATAGTACCCTTTTATGTTCAACTCACAATTCTTTTTTGAGCTGTAGGTTGAGGAAAGGGAGAGGAAACATTATATAATTTTCTGAGACAATTTGTAATATTTGTAAGGGAGAAATGTAAAGACATAAAAATACTTTTTACCAGTTAAAAAGTACTAAATATTTTTCCAATATTTATTTCAATGCCCCTTTACTGAAGCCTTTTGATAATTTAGTAATGTGATTTTTGTTGGTAATTGAGTTTTTAAAAGCACTGAAAATGTACTTTACATCTTTACTTGTTTTTGTAAATAAAGTGAATGGGGCCAGCAAAGAATCAAATTTAATAACCTTTCTCTATTAAATAATATGAAGCTATAGAGATTTCATTAAGTTTGCAGAAAGGTCACAAGCTTAACTACTATAATATAAAATAAACGTTCTAATCTGGATTTGTGGACGTACATCTGTAAAAACATTTTAAAAATGTGGATTGCAAAGGTTATTTTGTTCTTGTGCATTGATTTTGGTATGGTATTAAGTTTGGCGTAGTAACTGAGCTGTCAGCTTTAATTATGCATGTCATTAACATGTTTCATATACAGTAGATCAATAGCAGTTTGTGGGGTTCAGTCTTGCTGTCCTCCATGCATGCAAGTCAACCTTGTCCACTTTAAATCATTATTAATTTATATGCTTTGGAACCAGGATAGACATATGCCAGTCTTATCTTTATCTGATTTGTGAGACAGATGATCAATACTACAGACTTTGAGCTGCGTTTGGTAGACAATGATGTTGAAGCAAATTTAAGGTGTTAGCGAGCCAAGTAATAATTTCATGTCAAACAGCTTTCAATGGTCCTTTAATCTGCTGTGAATTAAGCCATAAAGGAGAGACAAGGTGCCAGACCTCACGTAATATCATCATTCTTTACTAAAGGCAAGAAACGTTCAAAACGATTCAAGTACAAAAACAATTGCTCAATAAATAAACTGTGCAGCACTGTGCAACTATGTATACCATATTAGGATGGCCAACAAAAGCCAAAAATTGCTCATTTCAATACATAAAATGCATTTTGGTCTTAAAAACCATTAATGATAACTTGATTATATATTGTTATTAATCATCTTGTCATCTTGATTTTTTCAGTCTCTCTCATCTAGCAAATCTCGAAGTAGTCTTGACTTCTGTTTACTGTTTCCAAGGATCTTAAGTTATTCAAATACTGTAGTTTAACTGGTTTGAAGGCTGTGGTGTGGTCCCATTTCACAACTAATGTTTTTCCATAGCCTCTACAGGTATAAGTGATATTACACTAAAGTACTGAAGGGAGTAAGCTTCCACTTCAGATTTATTCTGCTTGCCTTCCAGCACGTTTTCCAATTTATTAAAGCTGTTTGTGGACTGTAGTCTGTCGAAGGTGGTATATTTCAATCGCCATGATGTTTTGTAAGTGCACATGTCAGAGAGTGGCCCTCAGGGCATTATGCTTTTTAAACATGCGTTTCCATGAATTTCATCATTGTTTAAGCCCTGTAATGGAGAAGTGGAGTTCACTGATAATGCAAACTGCCCAGCTCCAGAGTGAATCTATTTGTGAGTTATGTAGATCCACTATCTGGACTGCAGCTACTCAAAGTGAAATGAGAATAAAGAGAAGCTAAACTGCAATTGACGACGGCTCACTCTCTTGAACTGCTGGGCCACTGGTGCATTGGTGAGCTGAAGAGCTCATCTGACTTCTTACAGCACTGTTTATCAAACTCTATTTCTTTCACTTGAGTGGAGGACTGTACATCGTGTACAGAGTTGAATGGAAAACGAATAAAACTTGGTAACTGAATAATCTGAGGGATTTCTTTTGCTTTTCTTAAAACCTTAAAATGCCAACATAAAAATCATGCTAGGTTATCAAATAACTATAAGTTGACAGTGTGAAATAGTTTTAATTTTTAAGTGAGAGCCATTGTAGTGGGGTTACCCTAAAGTGTCACATTTACAGCAGTTAACAAAAATAAATGGCATTATAAGGATTTTGTGCTCCTGAAGCAGTAGATGGGACTAAACCCTGGTGTCCAGGCTCCTTAATTAGCCCCACTTGGACAAAATCTAAACTTTGAATTCTAATGTCCTTGTGTCACTCTTTGGTTTTTCATTCAGCTGTGACCATTTGCGTCCATGTTACTGTTTGGAGAGTCTTGAGATACAGTGTGTATCTGAGCATGGTCCTCATTCTTGTAAGGTTTAGTTGTCATGGTCACTTGTTAGTGCTACAACATGTACCCGGCATTTATTTTGGCATTAACTTGGACTACGAAACCATTTTTTCCATTTCCTATTTACGCACAGAACTTGTTCAAATGGAGATGAGAGACACATCATTTAATATCTTTCAGTGCTGGATTTTATCAGAGAGGTATCATTAAAAGAAGAAGCAGTAAATCTCAACAGTGCTTATGTAAACTGTCCTGCTATTATTTATCTAAAGAGGTGCAAGTTTTTTACCATGATGGGTGCATCAAGCCAAAATAGTGAGGAGCAGGCTTGTTTCTATATAGTTGAAGCTGGAATATAATCGTGAATTAACACTATTTTATTATTTTAGAAAGAATATAGTATTTAATTCACTAAATAATTACAATGGAGATTTTTCAGATGTAAATAGTTCACTCTGTTGCACTGATGTTTCTTACTTATAGAGTAATACTATTTAAGGAGCCAAATTAAATATCTACCCAGAAAATTGTTATCTTTTCACCTGAGGGATGTGTTTTGCATTTCCTATAATACACCAATTACAATACAGCCTCCAGTATGCCTACAGCAATTATTTAGCCCAGTAAAATTAATGGTAACTAAGGTTTTATGTGTATGTTTTTAGAGGAGGTCTCTGGTTGCCACAATCATAGCATCAAAATACTTACTTGTCATGGGACTGAGATAATCAAACCATTGTTGTCAAAATTGCTTTCAGTGAAGAAAATGGGATGCTAAATGCATATCTTATATCCCCTGTTAATAAAGCAATTTGAGAGTTAATTGTTTCAGTTTTCAACTCAATTCACTTCTTGCACGGTGGAGTGTTTTAAATAGTTGTTTAGTATCATGATTGAATAACAGAAACAGATACAGTATTTACCCATCTTTCTGATGCAGAGAACACTAAAGAATAAATATTTAATGAAATGTACATACTGTACAATTATGGCTATAAGTGCATAACCTTTACTTACTGTATATATAAAAGAGGTCATGCTTTATCTGAAAGCTAGTTTTGGGGGCGGTTAACTGCCAACAGTTAAAGAAATATTAATGGGGTTTAAGGTATATGTAAGTTGTTTGGGTTTTTTTTTTTCAAAATAATGGATTATTGCCAGCTTCTTGTCCAATGGACTAGACATTTTTAGCTTTTGCTTTTAGCTTTGAAAATACTGTATTGTTTGAAGTTGCATTTTTCGTTCACAGACAGACATACTATTGTTTCAAAACTTTCCATATGGGTTTAAAATGTTCTTGACCTTTACAGGATACAGTAAGGGTAAAGGTTCCACAAATGCCAGAGCATAATATTATGCCTCTTGCTTTCAGCTCTACAGACTACTACTGTTGCATAAAGAAGGTATCGGGCACTATCTCATTAAGGAACTTTGTGTACATTTGGGATTCCTCCTGTAGGAGAGAACAGGGCCTTTCTCAGTCTCAGGTGAGCAGCAA